CAGCTAAGATTGTTTATTATATGTCCTTCACTGCGATAACAAAACTCTGCACAGATCGACTTAAGAGCGCCACATTACCAGCACCGCGGATGCACGAAAAAGAAAAACCCTTCAGCTGGTCATCTTTAATGCCAATCTGGCAACATTTCCAATCCCCTAAGTAACTAGGGTTTTTGTGGAAGGAAATTGCAAAGTGCATCATCGAAACATTGGTGTTACATAGTTGCTAATGCTCGTCACACTGCTATGAAATAACTATTGTTTAATGTATTATGTTCCATTGAAATGGTATACGGCGCTAAAAAACAGAACCGGTTTTGTCATGCTTTTGATGTTACGTCCATGCCAACTTGAAACGTATGTCTTTGGTGGATCGTATCTTACTGACTCACAAGTTCAAACTTTTGTGAATTAATTTTTTTACTCCTGCACAGTCTGTTTAGCGATGAAATGTTTCACTCACACCCCAGTTCGAAGGCGATTCTAACTCACTGCGTACCTGTCGTCCCCCACAAGTTCCGTAGATGGCAACGCCGCGCACTCCGAGTCCTCACAGCACATCGCTAACCATTATATTCGGTTGAGCTGGGGCTCAGTATGAGGAGAAACAGATAACGGGTCTGTAGTTGCAAGGTCTACTTTTCTTATCTACCCTAGAGCTCGAGCAACTTCGATTTACGTGCTGGCCCAGAACGCCTGGAACCGCACACATGGCATTCGATACAGCACGCCTCTAACTCGGCGCTTACTCAGGGTAAACCAGGCCGGGGCCCAAGATAGAGTCGGTGAGAGACGACCCTCATTGCCAGGAGGTCGGGGAAATGAAGACGTGCACTTTTCCTGCTTTCCGCAAGTGCCGAAGGGGAATGCTCAATACAAAGGATCAGTTGAAATGAGAGGAACAAGAACGGAACAAATTGTTCGCATGGCGTAGCGATACTACGGCGAGTGCGGTGCAAAACAGTTGTCATCATCACGAACAAGAGTTGTTAGCTTGATAATTTGTCTAAAATAGGCAAGAATTCCCTGTCAAACTGAAAACATCCGTAGATGCTTGATCTGTGGCACAGAGAAACAAGCCAGAGCTTGCACAAAATTACCGACACTTTTCTAGAGAATAACTCCTCTGTAAAGTGTGGAAAGAACGCGGGGATAAACCGCGGCTGGCTTGCTCGAAAAAAGCATAGTCATCATAATCAGAAGATCCAGTAACCGTGATTCATCTGCCGTTGCAAACAGTGGTGCAATCCCGCCAACGAGTGGGTGTGTCGGAGGCACAGGATCTGTGGACGCCAGCTCCGGATCAACGGTAGGATTGAGCTGTGCCAGGGAAGTGCGAGCCCGGATCGCGAGATCATGATCTCGCGATTCACGAGTGATTCATGATTTAGCATTCACGCAATCGTGATTCCAGGATGCACCTTGGAACAATTACACACACCAATGTCTACAGCTGAATACATTTCTGTCCGTTTATGTCAAACAGCTGTTTCTTTGGTCCATGCAAATGCTTAACAGACATGAGCGTGTTTCTTGCGTCCCCGCTACATGCCGTGTGTTAACCAAGCACAATGATGATAATGGTGGCATTTGTGTGCAGTACTTTCCACAGAGGAATTCAGCGCCACTCCTTAACATGCGTTTACTACATCTGCCAGGCTGCCAACCGCACCGCGGCCATGAATGAATTGATCGTCGTTGCATGGCTCAAAACGCATCGGCTCGGAAAGGGATGGAGGGAGGGGAGTGCTGTCACGAAAGTCGTCAGATACCGCTGATTCATTGGCTCCTGAATTTGTCCAAAAGTGCCAATTTCATCGCACAACACGCAGTCCGTGGCAAGCCATTTGGAAACCTCCTGAGCCAGTAGCGACTTAACAATACACATCCATTCGTGCCATGTTTCAAAACGTATACTGACCTCACCAGCGAATCATGTGTCATCAATTATCGTTAACCCATCCAACAGCCGCAGTATAATTTCGCTAGGACACGGTTCTACCTCTGCTGAAAAGTTTTCCCCAAGCACAAAGCAAGTTCATAGCTCTATTGTATTACATACTCATTATGTATACATGCTCATTATGACGCCATAAATGCTTAAGTGATATTGAATTAGTCTCCCCAAAATACTAACCACATTTTTTTTGGTGGGCGTGTAGCTCAGAAACTAAAGGGGCTTAGGCCTTAAGACACCAAATGATCTTCAAGATGGCTTTTTCACTTTAAAACCCCAAATAAATGTGGAACACTCCCTTTTTAAAGCATGCAGGTTCAAATCCTTGGTTTTTTGCTCTGCACCGTAGGTTTTGTGCACTTATTATTTTGCAATTATTATATTGCCTGACCCGTTAAGAAACAAATGCAGCTTTTTCAACATGTCACCATTTGGGATTTGGGGGCTAAATGTACTGCATTTTCTTGCTACCTTCCATGGGAAAAGCCCATGCATCGAAGTGGAGCACCGTTAAACGCCTAACAGGATGTGCAAATCTGTAATGTCCAGAACTGGATTAAATCCTGGCGTCACACAACATGTTTCGCGGCTGCACGGACCACATGGCTGGTTAGTGTACATATCAATTATGGACGCAGTTTGTTATGCTCTACGGAGCACAAAACGCAGAGGTACAAATCCGTGCGTTTCAATCATGGCTCATCTGCCATGCACGTGCGCACACACCATCTTTCTACGAATAAACCCGTAATTTGTGCTGTAATACACCTAGACAACATAATTACGTTTTGTTCACATATCTTACCGTTTCATTTTCATTGACTCCTCGTCTATGTGACAGTGGACGAAGTTTGCAAAACGGGGCAGTGTTCAAGACATAAATTTAAAAAACGGACGAACGCTGAACGGAACGCAAAGATAGTCATCAGCCTTAAGGGAACACATCTCAGTTGCAATTGCATCGATGAGTATAACTTTTCGAATATCCAAATTAATCCCGCGAGGGATGAACACAGCGTGAAACATGGATTGCAACGACTTAATTGCACAAAACCTGCGGTGCAGGGCAAAAAACTATGGATTTGAACTTGCTTGCTTTAAGGAGAGTGTTCCACATTTTTTTGAGGGTTTTAAACTGAAATAGCCATCTTGAAGCTTGTTCGGTGCCTTAAGGCCTAAGCCCCTTCAGTTTCTGAACTACACGCCCACCCAAAAAAAATGTGGTTAGCATTTCGGGGAGACTTATTCAAGATCGCTTTGGCATTTATGGCGTCATAATGACTTTATTCAAATCCTGTCGTTCCATAAGCCATGCGGCCATCAAGGCTACGACAAATACAATGGTCAAGACGGTCATATCCGGCGTTTGTGAGCATGACTTCCGGATACAACGGCTGTCAAATGGCTCTTAATCAATGCTGTTCAAGGTACGACGTGATCAAACAATGACGCATCGAGCAGCGTATTTACTGAACAGAGAAATTGTGTTTTCTAGAACAGCCTTTTCAACGCAAAAGTATACCACTAGTTAGAAAGCTAGCTTGTTTCATCATATCTGATGATCGTTTCAACATCTTCAAATGTGAAACATTCCTATTGTCAGTTCTTTACCCAGATATTAACATGAACATACGCTCAGTGACATGACGTGCCTTGACGACTTTTGAACTGTTGGTATAGGACTGCACGCTGGGCAGAAATATAATTTGGCTCTACGCATCCCGGGATGGATGACAAGTACATGAGGCCGATCAAATGCATGCTTTATTTTTACATTATTCCAGAGCCCGGATGGTTTCAAAATCCGGGTCACAGTTCCCGGGGCAGTGAGCTGATCGCGCCCGGACGAACAATACCGGCCGGTCTGCTCATGGCGGGCCGCCGTGCGTAGTCTGCCATTGTTCAAATCCCATCTGCGACGAACCTAGAACAGATCTATCGATCTCTTCAAGGCCTAAACAGCAACAAAAATGGTCTTCCGTTGTATATTAGTCTAATAATCGAAGGAACCTTGTTCTCAGAAAAGGACAAGGGTCAAACTGGGTCCCTTCATGTACATAGTAAACCTTGGACGTTACATCGACCCATGCTTTTTTAGAACAAAAATATGTTAGGCTATCCGGTGTGCACTTCCTAAACATTTTGCTCCGCAAACTGTGTTTGCTAGAGCAGGATGAAAAATAGGTTTGTGACGTCCTAGCCCACCCTTATCTGCCGCTTTAAAAGAGAACATTCAAGCACGTTGAATGGTGTAGAATGGGCCAGCCGATAACAACGTGTGCTGTGAGAACCGTCAGCCATCATTGCGTAGTCAACATGGCCGGCAGATGCTTGTAACGGTTCGTGCCAGCCGGTTTTATCTGGATACGGCCAGCTGGCAGACTACTGGTGGTAAAAACTGGCAGACGAGGTACAAACTCAAATGGAAGTAGAATGTCGTATATTCGGCACCATTGCAACTGCCCTATGAATTAAAACAAAACCTAAATGCGGCTACATCGACCAGATGAAGAACACGACATGTCTTTCAGGACACACAACTTTAAGCCACATCTGGCCTGGCAAGTACCCATGGGCTTTTAGCCGGACTCTGGCGCAGTCTTGGATGGCTTTTCGGGTAAGAGTTTGAAGAATGACAATGATGCATTTCCTGCTAGTTTGCCAGTTAGAGATCCTTCAAAATGTAAAGTGCAGTTCCGCACACAAAACAACTGCAAACAAATTTCGCTTTAATTTTTTCCGGCATGGTAGCTCGGGACAGAACACCCATGGCCGACAAGTCACACCAGTTAATTAGGTTGCGCGAGTTAAGCAATTTTGTGTATATTCCTCACAACAGTCAAGAATAACTACCCTATTTCCTAATCTTGTTCAAGCTAATACAATTTTACACACATCGTCTTTACGTTCGTGACTTCTCGCACATACCCACTGGCCTATTGCACATATGTAATGTGTTCTTCAAACGGAAGTGAAGAAACGTCGTAATGCAACGTAAACGTAACGTTATGAGTATCTCACGGGCACTCTGTGGAAGGCACGA